TTTTATTTTTTACTAGCTGTGCCCGGCGATTTTACCCGTGGTACATTAGGGATATTTTCCTCCTGTAAAACGTAGCCTATTTGTTAATCCAAGGTGTCATCTGCCTGTCTATGTATGTACCTAACTCCATACCAAATTTTATTAAAATCACTTTAGCTGTTTAGACGGGAAGAAATAACAAACACACTCTCACACATTCACAAATTTTCGCCTGTATAATATTAGTGTGATATATTTGTACGTGGTATTAATACTTAGGTTCTAAAAATGATTCTTATAAATTAGCTATTTGCGCTATTGAATGCGTAACTATTATCTACGTTGTCTTACATTGCGCATGGCTCATGCCTACTGAATTGGTCAGTTTTATTATTTTTATTTGCAAAACTAAATTAATCACATCAATCGCTCGCTGTTACTTGCACGCTACCCTAACCTAGCATAGCTCAGTGCACCGGGCACAGATCGGAAGCAGAATGCACCGGATCGATGTGGTGCGGTGCGGCTGCGCTGTGGCAGGGTCGTTGCACCCGCGTGTGCTCGTCACGCCGACCTGGTTACCAATGCTCATCTGCGCTGGGATGACCATTTTGGGCAACACTTGGATCAAAACATCATAACAATAATCTGAAAAAGTAATAGAAACCCCTACTTTTTGTAATTGAGAGTGTTCGTCAGCAGTTTTATTATACAACGCACAACAAACTATATAACCGCACATGAAGTGTCCCGCTCAGTTGCGAAGATAGCTGGTGCCTTAGATAAATGTGTCAACTCACCCACCCACCTTCCTTACCTAGTGGGTTGCGATGAGGATAATTTGTGAGAGAGTACTCCTCCTCGCTCATTTCGTCCAGCTCAGGACTCTGTGAAATAAGCATTTCCAGGGGCGTTTTTACCCTAGCTTAGGGATAAGCGCTATGTTCATCAGCTGCTAGGGGCGGCAGAAGCCATATAAAGGAATTAATTACTGACCCATATTTTGATTACATTAACTAATTCTGGAGGAGGGCAATGCGCCAGATTTTAAAATAAGCATTAGGGCCATGCCACTAAAACTACAGGCAATACTCCGGCACCGGTCACGGTCACCAAACTCGGACTCTAAGGATCGTGGCCCCAGAATGCATGTCGAAAGTGCGCGTATGGTTGTCTGTAATGTCGGTTTTTGGACGACCATTTTTACGTGATTATGTGTCGTTAGCTGTTTTTGTGGGGCTTTTTGTTCCGGTTCGTTTAAGCCCGCCTCTGTAGATCTTTGGAGGCCCGAGTTAGGCTCCGAGGGGGTGATGAGAGAGTGGCCTTTGAGAGCCGAGTTTTTGCTGTAAGCTTGAGCAGCGAGCACAAAACGCCGCCACCGGCATATGTCTTGTAGTTTTCATACATTTTATATGGACTCGCCACACACGGTACGCCGGTGGCCGCCACACGCTACAAATCGTCATTGCTCGCTTCTTGTGGCCCGCACCGGCCACTTAATGCGCCGATACAAAACGCCGTCCCACGTCATTCGCGCGATTCCCCACCCCTCTCTCCCTTACCTTAGTCGGCCGCTGTCGCGCGCTTCAGCCACTTTAGTAGCCGGTTCTAGCATCTCGTGGCGGCGTTTGTGGCTGTGGCGTGTGACCCGTATATTATGCGCCGTAATTTGGTCGGCATTTGCAAGAGCTCCATTGGTCTAATGGTCACTCAGAGTAACTGCAGTAAATATAGATCCAAAGGTAACAAACACTATATTTCAAGATTTATGTATAAGTATGTTTTGATGTGATAACGTCTTATAAATCGATGAAAACACGTCATGCCACGTTAGTTCAACGTTCCGTGGTGTACGTAAGGTGAGGTCGAGGGTTCTTTCAACCCCCATTTCCAAGCCACTTCCCCGTCTGACCTTCAATACATTCTTTCCTAATTTTTATTGGGTTAGCGAATGACAAAAAATCTAAATTGTTGAATAAATATAAGTAATATTCAACAATTTAGATGCACGAGTTTTATGTGTCCTCCAAAAGAGTCTTCGCACGGTTTTAAACCGTTTTTTCATCTAAGATGCCCATTATTGGTACTCCATTCTAGTTGGCATCCGCATTGCTCTATATTTGCGTGTTCGTAAGTAAAGCACTGTATTTTCATCCATTTGTAAATAGAACTGAAAGTTGCCTGATCGCCGAATAGTTTTGACAGAGGTCCGGAAACTATTCCAGAACCTCTGAAGTCGAAATGTTACCAGTAAAGTAACTGTTAGGTACCTACGTGCGATGATTGACGAGTTGTTTACATGATAAGGCACTCCCGTGTGACAGAAACGGATTATTAATGATTAATATTAGGGTAGAAACACAAATACTGTTTCCAAACCAATAACTTGGTTATTATAAATTTACGTAGAGTAAGTAGATTTAAGGAGCTCGATGGCGCAGGTGGTTAGCGCGTTAGGCTGCGATCGTTGAACTTAAGCAACTTTCGCAATGGTCGGTCATTGGATGGGTGAATTAAAATCTTTTATCTCGAGCTCCTCCGTGCTTCGGAAGGCACGTTAAGCCGTTGGTCCCGGCTGCATCTACAGTCGTTAGCACCGCCAATCCGCACTGGGCCCGCGTGGAGGGTCATGACTCAATCTCCCTATTGCTTCCATATGGAAGGCCTGTGCCACATTAATAGGCTGATGATGATGATGTAGATTTATTTCATTCTAAGTTTATAAATGGGAAATTAACTTCTGCATGTTTGTTATGTTTTCACGCCTACATTATTGTACCGATTTCATATCGCTCAAATATTTAGTAATTTGGAAGAGGTAAAATTTGTGATGAAAGTTGCCATAGTATAGGAATTAGGTACATACTAGAGTCTGTGCGGAAAGAGAATGGGCGTGGCGAAAAACGGATCTAACATTAAGATTTTTATTTGGCAATCAAACCCAGCAATCTGTAAAACGTCAAAGTTTTGTATTGATACGGATTTGTTTGTTATTGTGATTTCTTGCGGTTTTTTGTATTTCATCATCATCATCATCATCAGCCTATTAATGTCCCCACTGCTGGGGCACAGGCCTTCCCTATGGATGGAATAGGGAGATTGGGCCACGACCCATCACGCGGGCCCAGTGCGGATTGGTGGGTGCTAACGACTGCAGATGCAACCGGGACCAACGGCTTTTTTGTATTTAATCATGTCTAAAAGGGGTAAAACTTTACAAATGCGGTAGAAAAGCACTACAGTGCCCTCCGATCTAAATCCCATTCTCTTTCCGCACAGACTTTACTTGTAAATTAAGTGTATTTTCGATAATATGTTTATTTCTTTCCATTATACCCTAAACTTTTTGTTACATCAAACGGAGTGGTTACTTACGCTGCGGTTACATCAACTCAAAGGATTGATCCAACCATATCACAGACAAGTATGGCTGCTTCCGATGTAGGCCTTATCAAAATAATTTGAAAAGCTCCTACATCGAATGTTTTTAGGTCTAAATGTTTTATTAAAATTGTCTTCATTCTTCCTATGGATTTTGACTAATTCTGAATTACATAGAATCGAAAGAAAAGATTATCCCGGCACGGCACATGTAATGGCTAATTTTCTTCTTTCTTCTTTTTTTAATGGCCGTGGCGGAGATATTTTAATACGTTTAGCCAAACGCGGATTCTTGTATTGCTTTTTTATTTTTATTTCTGTTCTTTTATTTTGTTTATATTATTTGTTGTTTCTTTTGTTATTGTTTCGTGCGACACCAAACCGGTTCCAACGGAAGACCAGCGCTGATGGCAACATTAACACTTTACTGAGTTGAGACCGATTTGAGACAAAATTTAATTGTTTTATATTAATATTGTTTCTGTCGCAAATAAAATTCTATTTCTTTCTTTCTTTCTAATCGCATTTGCTAGTTGCAATATTAACAATAGTCGCTAATTTTCACTCTCTATGCAACCTGCTATTAATATAGAATAGAAAATACTTAAAGAAGTCCCGGTATTAGATACGCCATCCGATAATATTTAGAATTCAAAATAATATAATATAGCAACACAGAACCTCCTCCTTTTTTGAAGTGGGTTAATGTTAAGAAAATAGCAAAAAGGTTAGTCAACATCACAGGAGACCCAAGAGCTGGCAGCTACCTCAGACAAGGAATTTAGTCTAAGTATTCAAAGGGGGAACGCTGCCAGTATCTTCGGAACCTTGCCTAAAGGGACTTCTTTTCATAATGTATTTTAGTTATTATATTTTATTTTTTAAGGTTTTTAGTTTTAGTATATTTTATGTTTTGACGTGACAACGTCTTAAATTAGGTTGCGGCTGGGAGTCACTTATGAAAAAGTGTAACGCTCGGTAACGTTACGATGAGTCTCTCGTGTTAAGTTTAAGTTTACATGTACAATGTTTTAGTAAACAAAATATATTTCTATAGTTAAAATTTGTGCAATTCTTATTTTCATTCAATTCCTTGTTCCTATTGTGCAATTTAATTATATTCATATCAATAAATATTCTACCGAGAAAAAGACGTTGTCACGTAAAATCTTCGCCCGTAAAACCGACTTTACAGGCAACCATTTTTTTTTGTAAGCTTTTAGATAATAAATAAATTATATAAATAAAGCAGTGTTTCCCTAACCTTTCCAATACTGCTACCCCTGTAACCTATTAGGAAAACAGATTTTACCCCTACTTTAAAATTTTATTATATATTCCAATTTGGCCGCTACATCATCGTCTCTAATAATGTCATCATCAGGAGAAAATCTCGCCCCGCTTCCCATACTCAGCACCCCGCGGGCTCGCTAGCAAGAAGGAGAGGATGCTCTATTAAGTAGTATTATTATATAGTATTTTCCTATTATTTAGATTTGACCAAATAATTAGATTCTTTATTACCCCCGAAGTATGGCTGATTTACCCCCGGAGGGGTAATTACCCCCAGGTTCGGAACCCAGGAAATAAAAGATATGCCAATACATGTAAATATATCAAGGTACTTTAAGTATACTAACCTCCTGTTGTCAAGGTATGTGTCGTATTCGTCCTGTAGATTCTTCTCGTCGTGCATGTCGAACAGGTCGCTGTAGATCGCGGATTCGAGTCTCGACGGATCCAAATGGTAGTTCGGATTCTCGTACGAGAGAAGACCATTCTCTGTGAGACAAAAAAAGGTAAATATTAGTACTTCAATATGATACTTATGTTACAGCCCCACTGGCTGGTCACAGAACGATGAAAATATCATATTCCAGCACTTCACTTGGCTATATTCATATAAAGACAGACTGATATCAAGTTAACAAATAGCAAATACGAATAGCCAAGTGAAGTGCCAGCCATGCCATTAGGCTCAATAAATCCTAGTATTTCATTTAATATGGCCAATAATTTGTCGAAATCTTTGCTAGTCATGTAATAGCTTGGACGTTTGGGGTAAAACACTACGGTCAATAGTCCTCCGCGTTATAGTTAGTATTTATAGGAACACATTGTTTTTTAAATAAAAGAGTATCCTCTGTGTACTATCTAATAAACTATAAATTTACGTTATATATACATATTTTTTTTATGCATGTAACTGCTTGATGTTTAAATCTAAATAAAATATAACCAGACAAATTACGCGCCTTTCATGCAAATTCGGTCAGAAATTTTAATGAGAAAGAATAAAAAACATAACACACGCATCCATACAATTTTGCGCATTTTTTTAAATAATAGCAGGAAGGATAACTGCTCATACGAATACTATGATAGTTTTCGTGAGCTCGCACTCGTACTAAGGGTACTGATTTTATTGTTTTCGTTTCAATACAAATAAACAGTGTTTAAATTCTATCATTTAATCATTTGCGTCTTCTTAAATTTTAAGTATATTTGGTTACTTTTCACCAAAATGGACATAGATAGTTTATGATAGTTTTCGTGAGCTCAAACTCGTACTAAGGGTACCGGTCGTGTCTTATCTTTTGGCTAAGCGATGAGTGTAGTGACGGTCTGCGCTCATTTATTCAGTACTTAGGCTGGGACTTTAGTTACTTAGCCCAAATAAATATGTTTTTCTCTAGAAAGTTGAGATTTGTATTATCACAGGAAAAATAATAAAAAAGGTAACTTCCGTCAGCGCAACCCGTCCTTTTCACTAAATAGGCTTTTGAACAATACATGGTTTATATAAAAACAGCTCTTCTTATACTAAGAAAATTAGTCTTTGATTGTTTTTATATAAATTAAAATGTAGCTTCATTTCAACATGGTATGTCTCTTTATAAGCACTTTGCCCCTGATGAACTGCTCGGGTATAACCACAGAATACAGAAAGAGGTTAGAAGGGCCTCGTGGGAGGGGCAGGCGTACCACAGTTATGTGTGAGCAAATGCTCATAAATTGACCAAAACTTGGTTCTGATTGCATCGTTGCTCTCGGATGTGAGCGTTGATTGGTTCGATTGTTTGATGTCGCGTCGTTTGATTGGCTTTTATCTACATTTAAGTGCGGGCGAGCCGACGACGTCGCGTCTGTTCCCGTGCAAACGGTCTATGAGTGGGTATAACCCATACGCTAAGACCTCCGTAATAAGGAATGATATCCTTGTGGATTCTATGCATTATATTTTATACTAGGATAGGATGCCCAGCGCGTTGCACGTGTTGGCCAGGAACTTATGACGCATCCTAAGGGCTCCCGTAGCTACTGGCGTCTGGCCAAGGCTGTGCAAAAAAACTTCTGCGAGCCCTCGCTGCCACCTCTGAGATGCCCAGACGGAACACTAGCCCATAAGCCGCCGGAGAAAGCCGATTTACTGGCAAAACTCTTTGCGGCTAACTCCCGAATCGATGATTGCAATGCACTGCCACCATCATTACCTCACTGTGGCACAACGATGCCTGATATTAAAATCAAGCAGCGCGGGGTTCGTGCCGAATTGCAATCACTCGACGTCCGGAAAGCTAGTGGACCTGATGGCATCCCAGCAGTAGTACTCAAAAAATATGCAGCGGAGTTGTCTCCCGTGCTGACGCGCTTGTACCAATGCTCGTATTCTTTGGGGAATGTGCCGGAGACTTGGAGAGATGCCAATGTGCAACCGGTGCCCAAAAAAGGGGATCGTTCAGACCCGGCAAACTACCGGCCAATAGCAGTCACCTCAGTTTTATGTAAAGTTTTAGAAAAGGTCCTTAATAACCATCTGACTCGCTACCTAGAGGATCACTCCTTGATTAATGATCGTCAATATGGTTTTAGACCGAAACGATCGACGGGTGATCTTCTAGCGTTCTTAACTCATATCTGGGGTAAGGCTATCGACAAGCGTGGCGAGTCGTTGGCTATCAGCCTTGACATTGCCAAGGCGTTTGACAGGGTCTGGCACAAAAGCCTTCTCTCCAAGCTTCCGGCATACGGTCTGCCAGCCCAGTTCTGTTCTTGGGTAGCTGACTTCCTGCATGAGCGTAGAATTCGTGTCCTTACGGATGGTAGCAGTTCGCGGTTCATGTCAGTGAATGCCGGCGTTCCCCAGGGCTCCGTCCTATCCCCCACTCTCTTTCTGCTGCATATCAATGACTTAATTCCTCTTGGGAATATTCATTGCTATGCAGACGATAGTACAGTGCATGCGGGGTATCTCGGACAAGCAGCGGCTGGGCTGGCGGTAACCAAGGAGAAACGCGAGAATCTTGTCATTGAACTCAATCAGGCTTTGGACCACATTTCCGAATGGGGTACCAGGAACTTGGTTGAGTTCAATGCCAAAAAAACTCAGGCTTGCGCTTTCACGGCAAAAACATCGTCATTCCTTCCCCTTCCATCTCTTCAGGGCACAACACTACCGCTGCAGAGCAATATTTCCATGCTCGGTATGGAAGTTCGCTCAGACCTGAATCCAAAGAACTACATCGAAACCGTGATCAAAACAGCTTCACGCAAACTCGGAGTCCTGAACAAGGTGCGGCGTTTTTTCACGCCCGATCAACTGTGCTTGTTGTACAAAACGCAAGCGCGGTCCTGCGTGGAATATTGCTCGCACCTCTGGGATGGCTCCGCCAAGTACTTGCTCGATGCTTTGGATAGGTTACAGCGACGCGCGATCCGCATCATAGGCGATGAGGAGGTGACTAAACACCTTGAGCCTCTTCAATTACGCCGTGACGTGGCGTCACTAAGCGCGTTCTATCGTCTGTACCACGGCGAGTGTTCTGAGGAGTTATTCTCTCTTATCCCACCTTCTCCTTTCCTTCAGAGGACCACGCGCGCTGGCCTTCGTTGTCATCGTCTAACTGTGACCACAATTCCAACGCGTACAAAGAAATTTGGTGACTCATTTCTTTGTCGCACTATCCGTAAATGGAATGCTCTGCCCGCTCACGTGTTCCCTCCCTCTTACAACCTGGGATCCTTTAAAAGAGGCGTGAAGAAGCAACATGCAGGCCGGCAGGGTGAAGATGGCTGGTGTGGCAGGTAAAACTGCTGTATCAGCTATCGTCACGTCTGGACTTCACCTTCACTTAACATCAGGTGGGGTGGAGTCATTTGTCGGACCTATCTATAAAAAAAAAAAACTAATCACTAGATGCATTTTCTTGGCAACAGCATAAAAGTAACTATAATAACTTATTATATGGGTTATTTTAGCCTATTATTGATAACTTTAGTTCAGTCTCCGTAGTATAGTAGTATGACCCAAAATACATTATATCACGTTTTTTATCGCGCCTAAATGTCAAACTTCATATTAATTTGACAATTGAGCGTGATAAAAACGAACTATATATCATATCGCGGTGCTCATGCTAGGGGCTGGGTTAGGAAACTGCTCAACAGTGCAATTTTTCTTCGACATGAGCCATAACGAGATATGGGAAGATACAAAAGAGGAGACAGAGCAATTTTATGACAATATTTATTTACTTCTTGTTCGCTATCATGAAACCCATGAAATTCGCCAACTAATTGAACAATGAATCACCGTAGGCTGAACAATGTGTAGGTCAAAGACATAGCACTTGTATGGCAACATAGGCGTCAGAAGTCTACAAACTGAAGTCGATCTTATCGCAACGACTAAAGGCGTATAGTTTCATATGGATATTTTATTTAAATACAAGTTATGTTAGACAAGGTCTTGTATCCATTGTGTGAGTCATGAAATTATGTTTTCTTCACTACTTTGGAAGGAAATCAATAAGTTCATTCAGTACATTAGTGATCGTCAGAGTTCAGTAATATAGGTAGGTCGTACATATATACTAAGCATTTTTTCGATACTTACCTGCATATAGGGTCGCCATTTAGGAATTTCAAAAGTCCTGACAAAAATCCTGACATTTCGAAAAAAGTCTGGACTTTTTAGTCACAAAATGGTACCATTACTCACTTAGTACAATGGTATGGTACCTATTAAAATCAATATGTCCTTTTATTATTCATATTCAATGTAATTGAAAAAGTCCGGACAATTTAAAGATCCCGACAAAGTCCGGACTATAGTCTAAAAGTCCGGATATGTCCGGAATAATCCGGGCGGATGGTAACCCTACCTGGATACAAGTTTTCGTATAGAAGTTTTGCATAAAAAGTTTAACAGGAACTGTGTAAGTATGTATGGTGTAACCATAACGATTTAGGTAAATCATTAAAATCGATAGGACCTATGATTTTATTCAACGATCCCCTGTTAGCCACCTGGCGCACCAGACGACTACGACTTCGATCAGTCGTGGCCGTGGCCTCAACCTTGGCCCCAGTAGCGGCCACGTTGCTGGTTGTTTCTTTATATCATTAATTATAATTTTTGTATCAAAACTCATTGCAGAAATAACGTCGTCATATTGAGTTACGGGATAATGCAAATACGGCTGGCCACAGCCAGGCTGTTGATTTCGATTCTGCTAAGTTATAATCATGTTTCAGTGGCGTTTCAGTTGTTTTAATTTTTGACACAGTTAAATATTGTTACTAAAACACAATTTGTAAAACTCATTTGTATTTTATTTTGGTACTGTGTACAAATCTATGTTACTGAACCACTATTGAGACACGATTTTTACGTTAGTGTAGTGTAGACAGAATCGACACTCAGACCTCATACGCGGTCGCATTTTTAGTGCGCTCATAGCAGACTGTACGCAAGTTGGTCGCAATGGCCAGTCGTGCCG